GCACATAACAACAACAACAACAGTGGTAGGAGCAGGACACTGCGGGCATATCAGTGTTGCTGAGCTCAGCCTAGACCAGCTGGCCATTTCTGAAAATATTCAGGTCTCTGCAAAAGAAGGGCAGCATCAAGCACCTACTTTTCAGGGCTGTTGGAGTTTTAGCACAGCATTTCAGGTACATGCCAGTTGTTCAAATGATGATTATTGTAGATGTGGTCAGTCATAAATAGTGAAAGTTGCTGCTAAAGATGTCAGGCTCTGGGCATGCACTCCTGTGAGCTGCACTGGGCTAAGAAGGCCTCTGGGTTGGCCATCGTGTTGAGGAGAGTGCACTTTGGGGCTCACCAACACACCAAGAATGCCAAATTGTGTTCTTGGGATCTCAGTGATTCTTGTTAGGAAAGCAAGACTATTTCACCCCACATAAACATCTCTTAGTTCTTCCCTGATGGTAGTCGTGTTTCGAAATCAGAAAACTATTGTCTTTGGGATGACTTTCTATAGGTTCCCAGAGCTCAGAATTTCACAGGTGACAGTTTAGTTTGCAGTGATGTGCTGACTAACTGGTTCTTGGGTGGGTGTGTGTTTAGTATAAATATATAACTACAAGCCTTATTAATTAGTTAATGTAATCAATTAATCTATGGTAATTAATGTTCAAAAATAACACGTCTGAATGGTTCAAATAAATAAAAGCCTTGGTGTCTAGCATTTGCCAATTTCTATGGTATAAACACCCCCACTACGATTTCAAGCTAATGCCAGTTTAACAATGGCCTCACAAAATTCTGGAGCTCCCAGCAATGAACCAGAGTGGGATCAGTGACTCCAGTATCCCTCTAGGTGGCTGCGGACCGTGGGCTCAGGGAGTTCAGGAGACCTAGAACCTTCTTCCTACCCCAGCACTGGGGCCAGTGCATCTTCTACCAGTCATTCCTGAATATTCTACTTTTTCTTCATCTTGCTCTTTCTTATATCCTTTCTTCCTTTCTTTCCCTTATGTTGTTGGAAAATGAGGCACGTTGAGAACTGTACTTTTCCTAGAACTCAAAAGCACGCCATCTCGTACAAAGAGTATGCGATGAATCCCCTGAAATGCATTTGTTCAATTTAACAAGAGCCTGGTGAGTGGTGAGCTGCTGAACAAGATGCTGTGTGTCGCGATTGCTTTGAAATCACCAGTGGTTCTGTGGGAGAAAGATGGGCGGTCAGCTCCTGTTGAGATTTCCAGCCTCAGAAATCTGATGGAAAATTGCTGTAGGTTGGAACGGACTCAATGACAGAGAGTTTGACTTGAACTTAATATCAAGTTAAAATTGCTATAAACCATTTTGAAAACGTTATCCTACAAATTTGCTAGATTAGTGACAACTTTCGTGAATTTTAGCCTTTTGCTAATATTCTCAAGTTGCAAATACAAGTACACTTCAGTGGCACTGCTGCTTTTATCCCCTTAGAACACCGGAGCCGGAGTGATCGCCGGGAGCAGAGGGCCGCTGCTCCCCTTTCCGTGGCTGCTCCCCCACTGCCAGCCTACCCACCAGCTCACAGCCAGAGGAGGCGCGAAGCTAAGGACCGTCACTTCTTAACGGTAAGCATTGGCCAGCGGGCAGCCCTGTATCTGCTTCCTGGGAACTCGCCCCCCTCATCTGAGTTGGTCTTGGGAGTCACTGTGTCTTCTCTCAGCGAGGGAGGCTGAGTCAGCTGAGAGACCATGTCCTGGGTATGTGGGAACAAAATTAATATTTCTCTGTTAGTTCTTAAAAGGAAAGCCTTAAAAAAAACTAGAATGAGGATGCAGGCATAGTTTTTAGCTCACTAGTTGCATGAAGAAGTAAAGCAAAAATAAAGGACTGTAAAATCAGGGTGGAAATTTAGCAGATTCTGACTCATTGTAACCTCACAGAACTGCCTCTTGAGGTCCAAGGCTGTCATCATTATGAACATTGACTATGACATCTTTTTCCTGCTGAGTGGAGGGGGGTTTTGAACTGCCAACTTTATAGTTTTTTTGCACTCAGATTCCTTATTTGTAATATGGCGATGATGATGACAATAATAATAATAATAATAAAATAATAGTATTAGTAATAATACCCAACTAAAGGGTTTGAGAATTAGCTGAGATACAGCATGTAAAGTGTTTAAAGCAGGATATCTAAAAGCCCCAAAATGAAGGAGTCATGGAGGTACACAGGTTAACCTCACTAGCTGGGAAAACTCTAGGCAGTTGTGAAGGAATTTAAATAGGAAAAAATTCTATTTGAAGAAGAATCATCTCATCATTAGATTCTCTCATTGAATTGAGCTAGTTGTGCAGGGTAGCTTAGTGCCATGGGATGTCATCACCTTGCCCGGGTGGGTGTGGCTGGATTGCTGTCCAGCCCCTGAGTATGAGTCGCAGGGGATGAATGAAGCTTTGAATTCCTGAAAACACAGCAGCTCAGATTTTCCTTCTGGGGCCTTGGTGAGGATATTGAACGCATAGTGCATCTGAGGAGGACAGAACTGAAAAGTAGGGCCTTGGTTCTGTGACCACGTCAGCCACACTACCATTTCCGAGTGTCTAAAGTCTAAAGAAGGTCAAACAGTAGGAATGCAAATTGACATTTCTATTCAAAATTAAATTTCTCTGTAGCATGTATGGCTTTATTATCTGCAAAAAATGTGGAAAATATTTGGGTCACATGTTGCCAAATAAGCAGACAGCTGAAAAACAGATTAATTAAGTGAACTGATACAATATATCCATATCAAGCATTGAGAAAATATGTTGTTATTTTAATTTTTTTAAATTTACAGCTAAGTGGTAGGTACCATGTCCTTTTCTGATCAGCACGTAAATCCTAAGTACCATGTTGCAATCATTTCTTGCTGCATTGTGGGCAACACAAGGATAAGACAGGGGTAAGAACCTCTCAAAACCTTCTGGTTCTTTATATAGAGCAGTTGTACATGCTAGTGATTTATCAAGGCTTTACTCAACACAAGTTTGTATTAAAGCTCAAATTTGCTTGCTGAAGCATTGGCCTTTGATGAATCATTTTTTCTGCATAAAAATGCTAAAAATATTTTCCCATTCATATTTATGGCTCATGAAGTCAGGGCTTTTTGATAGGGAGAAAAATTCTGAGCTCTTGCAGGAATACCATAAAAATATAACCCATTGTCATAATCTCCATGGTTTTACATAATGTCTAACTAGTCCCTGGGCTCAACTCCTAGCACAATTGTTGACAAGGTTCAACCCATCCAGAGGTAACTCAAAGGTCATGCATTGAGATCCGTTTGCAGAAAATTCTAGCCTTGAAAATCCTATGGAGTAGTTCTACTCTGTGCACATGGTGTTGCCATGAGTAGGAATCAACTTAAAGGCAACTACAACCAAAGAAAGGCTATAGGAAAAGGCTTAAAATAATGGGTAGGAATATGGGTGCTTCATCCACCCAACAAACATCAGTAAGAGAGAGCTCTCGCTCACACTTACTTATGTAAACTTTATGGAAAGAAAGTATGCCCCTCAAAATATCATCATTACTATCAGAAATACCAAAGTAACTCAGGAGCATTTGTAACTCTTTCATTTGTTCAGTTGAATTCGGGTTGTCGGGTTCATTAAAAGACTTTCCATGGAAATGATCCCTTAGAATAGGGCACATGTCTGCATTCTGTGTACACGGCCTGTTTGACTGCAAGAGAAAAGGCTTCAGGTAGAGTGCCAGGAAGTGTGCAGCTAAACTGCTGATTAGACAGTTTGTTACACTGCAACTCACTTTTGTTCATTGAAAGTATTTGAGTCCGTTTTTCTTCCCATTTAAAAAAGTTTATTTGATGGGATTCTGATATACAATTGTCCACAACAGTATAGGCTAGTGAATGTTTAGTTTTGAATGGGATAGACTCTAAAGTCAAAATGCCCAGATTGGAATTTTCGCCCTGCCACTTACCTGCACAAGTTAATCATTTCAGTGCCTCAGGGATAATAATATTTATCTCAAAGGTTTGGCATGAGGATTGAAAGGGTTAATACATGGACATGGTATTTGATGCACAAGAAGCACTTTATACTTATTAGTAATTATTATTGTTACCAAGTCATTGAAGCATCTGTGATGCAGTGATAAGATCATAAATAAATCTAACTGGATTTAAATCTCAGCTCCAAAACGATTTTGGCTGTGTGCTTTGGAAAGTTCTGTTTGAGGTTAATTTTCTTTACCTGTAATACAAGGGTAATAATTTCAATTTTACAAGGTTGTTAAATGACTTAATAGGATTTTATGTAAATAAAATTCTATACAATCTTAGTATACTGTGTACTTTTGTGTATTGTACTGTGAAAGTCTCCAGTACAGTGCCTGAAATATTAGGAATCTGTAGTCTTAATCACTTAACATCGAATGTTTACCACCAAAAGAAAAGGCTATGATAAATACTTAAATGAGAAAATAGAAACCTTTACATCCTTTCTCAAGAGCAGTTATCAAAACTCTTAAGTTGTTCAGACCCTTTGATTCAACAGATCTACATTTAAGATTTTACCCCAAGTTAATAATCAAATAATATGCAAAGATTTCTTAACAAGGAAGCTCAGCAAATACTGTTTAAAACAGGAAAACTGAGCATAAACATCCTAAATGTCCCAAAATACAGATTTAGTTCCATGAATCCTGATATAGGCATTATCGTTGTTGTCAGGTGCCATCAGGTTGACTACAACTCCTAGAGATCCTGTGAACAACAGATCTGAACCGTGCCCTATCCTGTGCCGTCCTCATCGTCTCTGCCCTGTTCAAGTCCATTGTGGTGATCACTGTGTCAGTCCATCTTGGAGAAGGGCTGGAGGCGTGTCTTCCTCTCTTTCACTGACCTACCTGTCTCAGCATGATTCCTCAAGGCCTGGTTCCTCTTGAAAACATGTTCAAAGCACAGAAGAGGAAATTTCATCATCCTTGTGTTTTAGGAGCACAGTGGTTGCACTTCCTCCAAGTCAGATTTGTTTGTTCTTTTGTCAGTCCATGCCATATTCAGTACTCTTCTCCAGCACTACAGTTCAAAGGCATAAATTCCTCTCCTGTCATCCTTATTCACTGTCCAACTTTCAGATGCATAAGAAGCAACCGAAAACACCATGGCTTGGATCCAGTGTGCCTTACTCTTTAAACTGACACCCTGGCTATAAACTGACATCCAGAGTTCTATTATAGAGAGGTCCTTCACAGTAGATCTTCCCAAGGCAACATGCCTTCTGATATCTTGACTGCTGATACCATTGGTGTTGATTGTGGATCCAAGTGAAATGAAATCATTGATCATTTCAATCTTTTCTGAATCTAGCATGACATTGCCTGTTGGTCCAGTGGTGAGTATTTTGGTTTTCTTGATGTTGAGATGTGACTCATGTTGAAAGCTGTAGTCTTTGATTTTCTACAGTTAGTGCTTCAAGTCTTCTTCACTTTCTGTGAGCAAGGTTATGTCGTCTCCACAGCACAGGTTGTTAATATATTGAGTCTTTCTCCAAGCATGATGCGTCTTCTTCATATAGTCCATCTTCTCAAATGATTTGCTCAGAATACAGATTGGGCAGGTAGGAAAAAATGATATAACCCTGATGCACACATTTCCTGATTTAAAACCATGCAGTGTTCTCTTTTTCTATTTGGACAACTGGTTCTTGGTAGGGGTATAGGTTTAGCATGAACACAATCAAGTATTCTAAGAAGGCCATCCTTATCAATGTTAGTCATAATTTGTTATGATCCACACACTCAAATGTCTTTGAATAATCAATAAAACACAAGTAAACATCTTTCCAGTATTCTCTGCTTTCAGTCAAAATCCACCTGGCATCAGTAATGATATTCCTTGTTCTATAGCCTCTTCTGAATCCAGCTTGACTGTCTGTTCCACTTATGTCCTGTTTGAAGCTGTTTTTAAAATAATCTTCAGCAAGAGTTTATTTGCATATGATATTAATAATATTATTCAATAATTTCTACATTCTACTGGACCACCTTTTGGGAGAATGGGGGGAAAATATGGATCTCTTCCAGTCAATTGGCCAGGTAGCTGCCTTCTATATTTGTTGGTAGAGACTGGTGAGCACCTCCAGGGTTTCATGTGTTTCCTCAAACAACTCAATTGGTATTTCATCCATTGATATCTTCTAACCAAAGATGTAGTCATAGACCTTCTTTTTTGACAATGCATTCAGTGCAGCTTTGAGTTTTTCCTTTTTCCTGATCATTTCTTTCTGAAATGGTTCCATGTCGACCAACTGTTTTTGGTACAGTGATTGTGTTTATTCCTTTCCATTTTCGTTTGTTGCTTCCTGAATCATTCAAGATTTTGCCCATAGACTCCTTCAGTATTGCATCTGGAGGCCTGAATTTGTGCTTCACTTCTTTCAGTTTGAGAAATGTTGTGCATTCTTCCTTTTTTGGTTTTCTAACTCTAGCACCTTGCACATTTCATTATAATACTTTGGCTTCTCGAACAGCCTTTTGAAATCTTCTGTTCAGATGACTTCTTTTTATTCCAATGCAAGTTGACATCCATTCTGGTCTCTTCTCTTTTTCTGCCCTTCTTTCT